TAAATGCACTGAGTTGCCGCCATGTGATTGGCTGCTTAGAAATTAAGTGTTAACGAGCAGTTGGACAGGTGTACCTAATAAAGTGGTGAGTGTATGTTAGATGTGTCTAGGTGTTGTAGTTTTTTTTTTTATTAGAGTAGATTAAAGATGCTAAAGGTAGGGAAAATAAGTGGAATCGCTCTTTACTCATTTCCTGAACCAGAAGCTACAATCGGAAACTAACTTCAGCTTCGTGGAAGAAATTAGGTCCAGGATCAATATGCGTCGCATCAGCCTCCTCCTCCGCCTTCGTTCCACACCTCCAGAAATGATAACAAATGTCTCACTGTATTCTGAGTCCCAGCATATCCATGCTGAACACATTTAAGGTGGTGAACCGTATAACTGTGTAGGCTTCCGTATTTCTGCAGCTGGTCAATGAGGAAGGCCGCCACATCTAGAGGATCTAATTGATGTTTTCTTCCATAGATCCATTCTGTGGAGGATTCTTCTCAATGTGTTCACTGATCTCATCCAGCGTGCAGCAGCATCAGGATCTCTCCTGTCGTAGACCGACAATAAAGTTAAGCTTGATCAACTCCAGTAAACTCGCTATTGTGCTGCAGACGAGATGATAGACGAGATGATGCAGAGTGAAAAGTCCCACGATTACCTGGATAACGACATCAGGATAGTTATCATGTTCAATCAAACATTTGCTTGGAGCGCCACCTTCATGTGTGACAGACAAGGACTGTCAGTAAAGCGGCGTCCATCTGTTCAGCCATCTTCTCTCCACTTCCTTCAGAAACCTACTGGGAGCGAAACCTTCTTCATCGTAAACGATTCTTCGTTACTACTGACTAAAGCAGATAACTATCACCGTTATACCATATAATGAGCAAAAATGTATCTTATCAAGTGACAGCAATATGCTTCCGTTATCAAAAACACAATTAATGAGCACAAATAAGGAATAGTTGTATTAACCATACATGGAAACAGAGTTTTATGGGGCCCCCAGGAACTTGGGGCCCTAGGCAGCTGCATAGTATCCCCCCCCCCCCAGCTGAGCTGAAGGCGCCGGGGATGCAGAGCAGGAGGAGGGAGAACATTTAAACTATCTCCTCCATCAATCCTCTGTCAATCATCAATCAATGTGAGATCTTTAGGAAACAACTTAGAACCTCATGAACTTCCGGGGCCATGACCCCGCCCCCTCACAAAAAAAAAAAATAAAAAAAATAAAAGAATGTATAACAATCTTTTATTTTTGTTTGTTTGTTTTCCAGTCACCCTAGCAACAACAGACGCTGCTACTGGGCCTTCTCAGCCAATCATATGACACACTGCGTCTTACGTCACAGGCCGTCAGCGCGTAGGGCTGGGTTAGTCCGCCATCTTGGCTCAGACTAGCAGGTTCTAGCTGAGAATCTGAGGAGGTTCCGACAAAGCGAGACCGAACCGGGGATTTCTGACTAACTGGACCGGAACCAGAGGCCCGAACCGAACCGGACCCCCGCTCCGCTCCGCCCCCCATAGAGCGGAACACCAGAAGTATTGGGCTGAAACTTAAAGAGGAACTGTTGCTCCGGTTTGGATCCATGACAGTTAGAAACTTCCGCAAAACAGCCCGAACCGAGCCGGAACCGGAACCGGTACCACAGGACCGAGACAGGTGATGCTGCGAGCCAGCTCGCTGTGACCGAACCGAACCGAACCGGTGCAGCCCGCTAAGTTTCAGACCGGAGCGGCTTGATGAGCGGAGCTCCGTCAGTCTGACCCGGGTAACATGTCCGCCAGGAGCCCGCTGCCCACCGTCAGCGAGCGGGACTCCGAGCAGGTGGGTCACTACCGGCGGGACACCCACAGCGGTGACCGGTCCAAACCAGGAGAACCACTGGGACCAGTTAGGACTGGTCTGACCCAGTAGAACCGGATGTCCAGTTAGAACCTCAGCTCTGGTTGTCAGGTCTAATTAGAGGAGCAGCACTGCCTGTCAGCTGGCTGAAAGGAGGCTGCAGCCTTTCTGATGCTACCAGGTTAGGGTTGGTACCCCCCCAATGTCGGTCATAGTAGCATGTTAGACTGCAGAGCTTCAATATTAGAACATTAGGGAGTGAGGGTTGTTCCAGAGGTTCTGAGTCCCACAGCCTGCCACTCTGGGTCCCTGAGCCAGACCCTGAACCCCACTCTGCTCCCAGGGTGAGATGCAGCTCTGTACTGCTGACAGTGGGATGATAATAAAACCCTGGAAAAGTTCAAATATAAAGTTAATTATTAAAACTTTGAGGATCAATTAATGGGATGGAAAATCATTTTATTGATCATAAACAGAAAGATGTCCCCACGAGGGCGCTGTGGTTCTATGGACTGGACCAGGACCATCTAAACCGGACCTAACAATCTAAACTGGACCTAACCATCTAAACCGGACCAGGACCATCTAAACTGGACCTAACCATCTAAACCGGACCAGGACCATCTAAACTGGACCTAACCATCTAAACCAGACCTAACCATCTAAACCAGACCTAACCATCTAAATCGGACCAGGACAATCTAAACTGTCTATTGATCCTGGTTCTACTCATCCAGAAGCTAACCGCTAAGGCTTTCTTCTACGGGTAACATTCCTTCTGAGGCTCATCAGACGCTGGGTCAGAACCTGGGTCTGGATCATGTGGTCTGGATCATGTGGTCTGGATCATGTGGTCTGGATCATGTGGTCCGGATCATGTGGTCTGGATCATGTGGTCTGGATCATGTGGTCCGGATCATGTGGTCTGGATCATGTGGTCTTCAGAGAGCTGCTGATGGCTGCTCTGCTGCTCCACCTGTTCTCCTGCTGACTTCCTATCATCCAGAGGGTCCATCTGGTCCAAAGCGGTTGGATCCAGGTAAACGTTGACCTTTGTGCTCTGCTGTCTTTTCCCAGGTTGCCTCTGGGGATGACGGGCGCAGCGAGGCGACGTCCCGCTCCGTGCGCTCGGCCCGCTGTAAAAACTCCTCTGCTGTCTCTCGAGATGATTCTCCTCAAGTGGGAAACTACCGGCTGCTGAAGACCATCGGGAAGGGAAACTTCGCCAAAGTGAAGCTGGCTCGCCACATCCCTACAGACCGGGAGGTGAGACCGCCGCCGCAGACAGTTCACGGGAACTGATCTTCAACCATCATGTGTTCTGATCCGTACCTTCATCCTTCACAGGTGGCCATCAAGATCATAGATAAGACCCAGCTGAACCCCACCAGCCTGCAGAAGGTGAGACGGCGCCATCGGTTCTGAGCACCAACCAGAACCAGGTCGCTAAATCTAAACGTCTGCTGTGCTTCTGTGTCACAGCTCCTCAGAGAAGTTCGAATCATGAAGATCCTGAACCACCCCAACATCGGTGAGTCCCTCATCCACCCAGAACCAGACGGGCTGGAGAGGTCCAGCTGTGTTCCAGCTGTGTTCCTGCTGTGGTCCAGCTGTGGTCCAGCTGTGTTCCTGCTGTGGTCCAGCTGTGGTCCAGCTGTGTTCCTGCTGT